CTGCGCATGGGAGTTGGTTGCTCTACCAAGGAGCCTACAGACCATGGCCCCCAGCGTCTGTTGCTAGATCACCTTTTAGAGGTCAGAGGAGTCAAGTTTACCTGCACAGCACTTCACTAGCTGGCTTCTGCTACACTCACCCCCTTAAACCTTACTCCCATCCGGGTCACGGCACCAATATAACCTCGTCGGTCTTCCATATGGAAGTTGGTTGCTCAACTAAGGAGGCTAAAGACCATAGCTCCTAGTGTTTAGAGGTCAGAGGAGTAAGGTTTACCTGTACAGCACTTCACTAGCTGGCCTCTGCACTAGCAACGCTCTAACAAGTTTGAAACTTGTCTAGTTGTATTACTTATATTTGCTTATCTTTGTTAAAGATGTTTGACAGTTTGGTGTCTTGACTCACACCTCACACTGACATCCTCACTGGGTCATTTATTAGGGATGTACAGGGACACAATAAAAGGGATGTACAGGGACACAATAAAAAAAAACTATCTTTAACACAGAGCAGATCCCCAGAGCATCTCAGATGCATTCCTCTATAGTCAAATAACATCAGCTTTAGAAAGTAATAGATTGAGATCTATAAGGGATTCACGTGAAGATTTGTGATTGTATGTGAATAAATCAGCAGAATGTGAAGTATCTCATGAAGCTGTGAATGTTGGAGCCGTGCAGCGAGAACACCTCTTTGTCTTGACCCTCATAGCAGGCTGATCGTCTGCCTCAGTCATGACCAAATAAAGCGTCCGAATTCCTCCCCTGCTCTTTTTCAACCCCTAGAATGTTTACAAGAGCTTTGGATCAGCCTGCGCTCCGACTGACTCCCTCTCGCTCGCTCGGCTACTGTACGAGACCATCACAGAGCTCAAACGCACTTTAACTAAGCCCGATGATTGACAGAGACCGATGATGTCATCCAACCACACTCCTGACTGTCCCTTTGTGAACGCTTAAAAGGGCTCAGGGATGAAATGCCATTTTTGGAATAATACATCTGGTTATACTTTTCACTGATATTGAAAACAAATGTGTTTAATAGGATTCTGATACAACAGATCAAACACAATAAGATCGTAAAATTAAACGTACAGTGTGGGGTTTAGAAATTGAGCGAATGTGTTTAATAACACTATAATTTTCTATATTTCTAATATATCTTACACAGTCCTTAATTTGTACAATCCTTCGCTTGGACGCTCTCTCTCTCACACACACACACTCGTAGGTATTCACCACTCACAAGTTAACGCCGGATCCATTAAAATAAATACTGGAACGCAAAACACAGAAACAGGATCCGACAAGATTGTCTCATTTCAAAACGTTCAGTTCGACCTATGTCAAACTCAATTCCTGGAGGGCCGAAGCCCTGCACAGTTTAGCTCCAACCCTGCTCCAACACACTTACCTGTAGGTTTCAAACAAGCCTGAAGGACTCAATTAGTTTGATCGGGTGTGTTTAATTAGGGTTGGAACTAAACTGTGCAGAGCTGCGGCCCTTTTGGAACTGAGTTTGACACCTGTGGTCTACTTCATCCTTCGGAGCAGGGGTCACCAATCTCGGTCCTGGAGGGCCGGTGTCCTTGCAGGGTTTCGCTCCAACTTGCCTCAACACACCTGCCTGGATGTTTTAAGTATACCTACAAAGACCTTGATTAGCTTGTTCAGGTGTGTTTGATTAGGGTTGGAGCTAAAATCTGCAGGACACCGGCCCTCCAGGAACAAGTTTGGTGACCACTGCTTCGGAGGATGCAGCCTCTGAAATGAGACACAGCTATTAAATCATGCTAATCAGAATCGGTTTTATTGCCAAGTGTGCTTTACACACTCAAGGAATTTCTTTTGTATGATAATATTTTTTTGCTCATGAAACTAAATTAATTTGAATGCATCACAGAGTACATGAGCAAAAAATACATCTGAAGCTATTTTACACCTTTTTACTATCATTTTGACAACATTTATTTCACAAAAGTCTTAATTGGCAATATTTCTTAGTGTTTGGTCAGTTTAGCCTGTGGTCAGATAAGCCACCGATTACAGTGGTGGATAAAGAGCCAATTTTGTAAATGTTTAGGCGATAGTTTACACCCTGTATAACGGTCTCCAGCATCCTTTAGTTATTACGGAGCCGTTTTGACAGGAGCAGTGATGTTCATGACGCGTCCAAGCATTTATATCTCAAGATTAACTTTATTTTTCTTACAAATGCTACAAACAAACACGGTCAAAAAACTGTTTCCCCGCTACTCCTGTCAGCTGATCACCCATCACCTGTGAGCCCTTACGTAAGCAGGTGAGCTGACGTGACGTGTAGGTGGAGTTTATCTATGTCATTAAACCACTCGATCAGTGACACAGAATAATACTTTATAATATTATTAATCTTAATCAATCATGCAACAAATAAAATATAAATATATATAAATATCACAAATGGCTCCAACACCCTGTCTTTCACATTAGACCATCAATGTGCAAATACACACACACTTTCACAGTAGTTTGTGACATTTTAGTGAATTTATTAAGACATGCTCTAGAGCAGGGGAGTCAAACTCAATTCCTGAAGGGCTGAAGCCCTGCACAGTTTTGTTCCAACCCTGCTCCAACACACTTACCTGTAGGTTTCAAACAAGCCTGAAGGACTCAATTAGTTTGATCAGGTGTGTTTAATTAGGGATGGAACTAAACTGTGCAGAGCTGCGGCCCTTTTGGAACTGAGTTTGACACCTGTGCTCTAGAGCTAGGGCTGTGCTTCTGTTTGCTGGACTGAGCAATGGAGGTCCTGATTTAAGATAATCACATTAAATGACAAACTCTTTTAATGAATGAAGGATGATATCAAATTTTGGAAGTGCGTTTGATATCAAAACTAGACCGTTACTGAAATGCAATAGAACACAAATGTGTCTGGATTTAAAAAGAACACGTTCTATAACGTGTGGAATCGTCATCGGCTTTATTTAAATGATGACATCATGCTGTCTTTGTTTCATACCTATGTGGAATCTCATCTCTTCTGCTGAACATTGAACTCGGCTGGTCTTGGAGGTCTGTTTTCTGACTGGACGACTAAATCCCGGCCCCACATTCCTATGGCTTGTCATCTGTGTCAGAATAACACGGCGCAGGAAAAAATTTAAACCAGCTCATTACATTAAAGCATAAAAATATATATACGCCAGTGAGCTAAAAATGTTGTCTGTCTGTCTATCTATCAATCTATCCATCTATCTCATCTGTATGTCTGTTCTATCTATCTATCTATCTATCTATCTATCTATCTATCTATCTATCTATCTATCTATCTATCTATCTATCTATCTATCTATCTATCTATCTATCTATCTATCTATCTATCTATCTATCTATCTATCTATCTATCTATCTATCTATCTATCTATCTATCTACCAATCTGTGTTTTAAGAAAGTTACAGTATAATCCCGCTGTAACTCAGAACTGTTAAGTTGACTTAACTTTTAAAAATTATGTACATGGTTTCTTGATAATGAATAGTTTACTTTAGTAGTTCTCAATTGTTTTTCATCAAGTACCACCTCAGAAAAAAAGTTGTCTTTCCAAGTACCACCGTAATGATGAGGCAGATTAATTCCTATTACAGTTTTTCTCAGTGGCTTTGCTGCAGTTCTCACAACACTATTTATATTTGCACAACAGGTAAAACAATTAGTCGTTTGTGCACATCATAGTAGCAGTTTCTCATTTCTTCAAACAAATTGTTTGCTTTTGGTCATGCATCAATTGCTTTCATACAACTCTCTGCTGTTTATAGCATCATTTGCTTATCAGAATGATTAGCCCCTCTTTGAATAGTTCATCCCCCCCCCCATGATGTATAGCAGAGCAAAGGAATTTTCACAGTATGTCTGATAATATTATTTTCTTCTGGAGAAAGTCTTATTTGTTTTTATTTCGACTAGAATGAAAGCAGTTTTTAATTTTTTAAAAACATTTTGAGGTCAAAATTATTAGCCCCTTTAAGCTATATTTATAATAGGCTACAGAACAAACCATCATTATAATCCCTCTTAATAATAACTTGACTAATTACCCTAACCTGCCTAGTTGACCTAATGAACCTAATTAAGCATTTAAATGTCACTTTAAGCTGTACAGAAGTGTCTGGAATAATATCTAGTCAAATATTATTTACTGTCATCATGGCAAAGATAACATAAATCAGTTATTAAAGATGAGTTATTAAAAGTATTATGTTTAGAAATGTGTTGAAAAATCTACTCTCTCTTAAACTGAAATTGGGGGAAAAAAATAAACGGGGCTAATAATTCACGGGGGCTAATAATTCTGACTTCAATTTAAGTGTTCAGATGCAAAAACCTCTAAATGCCATGTGAAATTTCCATTGAAAAGAACATTTGTCTTAACCTCATATGTTTATGTAGAGATATTTCACTTTAAAGAACAGGATAAGAACTTATTCTTTGCTATAAAAGTAATATTATTGAACACACACACAGGAACCTGATAAAAATGCTCATTTTAGAGGAAAATTCCAGATGGCATTTAGAGGTTTTTGTATCTAAACTCTTCAATTGTGTCTCTTATTTGACCTTCTTTATAAAGAGGCCCTTAAATTTCATCATTGAATATTATCAACATGATACACTTTGATATAAGTACGGAAATTGCGTTTCGCTGGAAATAAATGTGTTAAATCATGATCATGTGCCATTCATAATTCGTTTTACTCTAAGGTTTGTTTGTTTTGGGTATTTTAGTTAATAGACATATTTGGTGCTGTGTTGCGTCAGCACTTTAAATACGAAGCAAAAATCAACCGAGAAACACCAAATTGGACGAATCAGAGGCATCCCTAACTCACTTCAAAGTGGAAAAAGTGACATGGGACGCGTTTAATGCCATGCCGGTGACATCATTTGTGCAGAGCTGCGTGACGTCGCGATTGGACGTCAGCCCCGGCCAATCGGCGCTCGCTCCGCGCACGCACAGATGGGAAGAGTTTAAAAAAGATTGTGGAAAAGAAGATGTGGCCCAAACCTTCCCCACATGATCGGACAGTCGGACCGGAGATTCCAGATCTAACATTATATCGCCGCCCTCTCGTCTGAATCACGATGTCAACGCAGTTCAAGAGCGGACCTGCTTTCGGACTGTCCGCGGAGGTCAAGAGTAAGGTAGGCATCACTTTGATTGACAGCTGTCAAATATGCGCAGGTAGCACGTGCGGCTAATAAAATCAGACAGATTACTGTATCATTTATTCAAGAAAACATTACTTATGTAAATGGAATAGGTTTATTATGAGTGCTTGCATCATTTCAGATATATCATAACAGGTTGTTTATGTATGATGAGATGGTTGTAGGGATCTTACTCGACAAATGAACTTCACCAAAGTCAAAACAAAAGTTTAAAGGGGTAGTTCACCCAAATATAAAAATGTCCTTAAATTCGCTCACACTAAAGTGCTTCTTCTCCTTTATGAATTTCTTCTGTTGAACACAAAACAAATATTCTGGGGAATGTTGAAAAAAGCCGTCATTGGCATCCATTGTGGGAGCAAACAATACTAAGCAAGTCGATGGTTGTTTTTCCAACATTCTCAGTTTAACAATCTCTGTTTTTAACAGAAAGAAAAAAACCTCAAACGGGTTTAGAACAAGTGGATTAAGAGTACATGTTGACAGAATCCACATTTAGGAATGAGGGAGATCTTAAAAATCCGTATTTTATTACAGTAGTTGTATCGCACAATTTTGTTTTCTTTATAACAGCATTTTGGCTGTCAGAAATAGTACAAAGTATGTTAAGTTGACGCTCATGAACAGACATATCCATAGCAGCACTCAGTGTAAAAAGTGCTGGGGTCCACAAAGTTGATTTGTGTTAAGACAACGTGAAGGAACTTTACAAATTTAGGTTGATTGAACATGAAACAATTGAGTTGTACCAAAAATAAACTCATGAGTTGGGTTGTTTCAGCTCATTTTAAATGAGTAATTCGAACAAACAGCAAGCGTAAATCTTTCGAGTGCTCCGAGCTCGAGTAATGTAGGCTACTTTCTGGTAAGTCGATGATTGACATTATAACACACAATCATTTTCACTCTTTTATAGGTTAACGCTGTGTAAAGTGTTACTTAAACATTCGTTGTTAGTTGTAAATGTTTAGTTAAGAGGTAACGAAAGTTAGGCTATAGTTCAGGCTGTGACAAACTGCAAATACTTTAATTAGACTTGTAAAATATTTTTAACAAATCATTGTAAAGTGGTTAAATCATAGTTTTTTTCACAATACTACAGTAATAAAGTGTAAAATTCAATGCATAGGCTCTATTTGTCTGAAGGCAGCTTGAAATATTATCTAGGATTATATTAAATATTGGAACATTATGAAATGTCTTACAGGTAAAAATTTGTTATTTACCCTGTAATAAGTGTAATAGTAAAAAAAAAAAACGTTACAACTATTTGTTTCTGATTTTAGCCCATAATAATTCATTTTGGGGGCATCACAGTCGCGCAGTGGGTAGCATGATCGCCTCACAGCAAGAAGGTTGCTGGTTCGAAGCACTGGCTAGGTCAATTGGCATTTCTGTTAGGAGTTTGCATGTTCTCCCCGTGTTGGCGTGGGTTTCCGGGTGCTCCGGTTTCCCCCACAATCCAAAGACATGCGCTATAGATGAATTGAATAAGCTAAATGGGCCGTAGTGTATGTGTGAATGCAAGAGTGTATGGTTGTTTCCCAGTGTTGGGTTGCAGCTAGAAGGGTATCTGCTGTGTAGAACATATGCTGGGTAAGTTGGCGATTAATTCCGCTGTGGCAACCCCTGATTAATAAAGGGACTAAGCCGAAAAGAAAATGAATAAATGAATAATTTATTTTGTGACTCTATATTGATTGATATTCATTTGGTTTGATTCACTTATTTTATTCTTTGATTTTGACCTAAAACACATTAGCACATTGTTCTGATGTAAAAGTTACATCTGTATAAGCCTCCTTACATGATCAAAATTTATACTGTAACATTGGCTTCTGAAGTGAAGCTTGAAGGTGCGTTACACAAGAGTTGGCATAAATGCAATTAAATAGCAAATACAACTGTTTATTTGTTGCTAAGAGGTGTAAGTGTGGGCAAAATGTAGTCTGGCTTTTATGTAGCATTGCATTATTACAATTATTTTTTTTTAGCTCTCACAAAGCACTCTTAACTCTGCTATGTAAATATGTTTTAAAGGGCCAGTTCACACAAAACTGAAAATTCTGTCATCATTTTGTCACTATTAACTTTTCCAAGTCTGTTTGAGTTTCTATTTTGTTGTTGTTATTGTTGTTGGTGTTGTTAAACCCAAAATAATTCATTTTGAGAATTTATTTATAAATCTATAACCATTGACTTTCATAGTACTTGTTTTTTTCTGCTATAAATGTCAATGGTTACCGGTTTCTAACATTCTTCAAAATATCTAATTTTGTATTCAACAGAAAAAAGAAACACTTGAAGGTTAGGAACCACTTTAGAGAGAGTAAATAGTGAGTAATTGTTCATTTTTGAGTTAACAAACACATCTATGTTGAGCTGCTTTGAAACAATCTACATTGAGCGAATCGAATAAAGATGAATTGAATGGTTTGCAGCACTCTAATATGACAGTGTACACATAATTCCTGCACACATCACTGTTCAAACCTCTTCCAGTTGTTGATCTTGCATGATAGGGTCCCTTTGAGCTCGGAGAATCTGATGTTCCCCATTCAGACACACAGGATCTGTACGTGCATGACTGAGCTGCTGAGCGAAAACATGAACACAGTGTGCTTCCAGACACCAGAGTCACACACAGTGCAGCAGCCGTTTTAATTGTTTTCAAAAGATCTCTCTTATACACACCGGGGCATCTGTGACACGCTGAAGCATGCTAAACTGTGATAAATTATTGATATTTCTTATTTTTAGCTTCACATAAGCTGGCAATCACTCTAAAACCACCTAGCAACAAACCTAGCAGATGCGACACCTTAGCAACCACCCATAAACTCATAGCAACCACAGAAAACATCACAGAAGCCATTTGCAACACCACAGAATACTGTATAGAAACCATTTAGGAGCTACTCTGAGCAACCTAGCAACGACAAAACACCACGACAACCACTTAGCAACAGACCCACACCCCTTTGAAAACCCTAGCAACAATTTAGGAGTCACTCTGGCCACCCTAGCAACAATAGCTCTAAGCAACCTAGTAACAACATAACACCATGGCAACCACTTAGCAACAGTCTCACAACCCATCAGAAAACCTTATCAACAGTTAATGACCAACTCTGAGCAACCTAGCAACAACATAACACCCTGGCAACCACAGAGCAAAAGTCTCACAACCCCTCAGAAAACCTTAGCAACAGCTTATGAGCCACTCTGAGCAAACTAGTATCCCTTTAACCCAAGGATGCTTCTGTACACTGTAAAAAGAATCCTTAATTTTACAGTTTATTTCCGGCAGCTGGGGTGCCGGGAAAAAAACAACGGACAAAAAAATAACGGACATTAAATAACAGAAATTAACTTAAATTTCAATTTCTGGCAAGTTTATTTAATTCAAACTTTTGCTGTAAATTTCTGTTATTTAACCGGCCATTATTTTACTGTAAATAACAGAAATTTACTGTAAAATAACAGAGGTTGAATTAAAGAAACTTACCAGAAATGTAAGTAAATTTCTGTTATTTAATGTTTGTTATTTTACTTTATTTTTCCGGTGCCACCGCTCCCGGAAGTAAACCGTAAAATGACAGATTTTTTTTTACAATGTACGCCATAAAGACCAGGCTGCTGTCTAAATGCATTCATGCCACCTCTGAGCAGCATTAGCAGTCAGTGTGTAAAGCAGGGGTCACCAAACTTGTTCCTGGAGGGCCGGTGTCCTGCAGATTTTAGCTCCAACCCTAATCAAACACACCTGGACAAGCTAATCAAGGTCCCACTAGGTATACTTGAAACATCCAGGCAGGTGTGTTGAGGCAAGTTGGAGCTAAATCCTGCAGTGACACCGGCCCTCCAGGACCGAGATTGATGACCCCTGGTGTAAAGGCACTTCAGGCATCTTTCTGAGGCACCTTTGTGGTGTAAATGTGGCATACACACAAAAGTCATTAGTTAATGCTGCTCTATGCTGGCTCAAAAGTGATACGCCTTTTCTTTTCCACTCCAGGATATAGTATAAAAGTTGCATCTGAGGTGTAAATGCACCTCCGAGCATCATTAAACTGCTCGTGTAAAGACCTAAATGGCACTCACAAGGGCACCTTTGCTGGGTGAGTTTGGAATTAGTCCAAAACCACATGCAATTTCATTCTTATGAAGGGGATAGTTCAACCAAAACTGATATTTAAGAAAAAAGAAGAAGATATTTTGAAGAGTGTTGATAACCATTGACTTCCATATTTGTTTTTCCTTCTATGGAAGTCAAGGGTTACAGGTGTACAATATTTCTCAACATATCTTCTTTTGTGCTCAACAGAGGGGGGAAAACTGAGATTTCTGGTGAGTAAATGATGACAGAATTTTCACTTATGGGTGAACTGTCCCTTTAAATGATTAGCTAGTTTTGCATGTGGCCTTGATCATATCATCTAGAACTAAATTACATCAGAAGGGAGAGTTCACCCATAACTGACTTTTTGAAAAAGAAGATATTTTGAAGAATGTTGGAAACCATTAACTTCCATAGTATTTTGTTGTTGTTTTTCTACTGTGGTAGTTAAGGGTTACAGGTTTTCAACATTTGTCGAAAAATCTTCTTCTGTTCATCAGAGGGGGGGAGAAATATTTTTGGTGAGTAAATGATGACAGAATTTTCACGTTTAGGTAAACTGTCCCTTTAAATGATTGGCTACTGTAGTTTTGCTTGTGGATTGATTATACCATCTAGAACTAAATTACATGAGAAGGGATAGCTCACTTCATTTCTTTCTTTTCGTTCATTTTCTTTTCGGCTTAGTCCCTTTATTATTAATCCGGGGTCGCCACAGCGGAATGAACCACAAACTTATCCAGCACGTTTTGATGCAGTGGATGTCCTTCCAGCTGCAACCCATCTCTGGGAAACATCCACACACACTCATTCACACACATACACTTCGGACAATTTAGCTCACCCAATTCAC